TATATAGGTGCATCTCAAAAATTTTGAATATCGTGAAACAGTTCTTTTTATTAACTTATTTCAAAAAGTGAAACTTTCATACTAGATTCATACTTTACATACATGTAAAGTAAAACATTTCAAACATTTTGTTTGTTTGTTTTCATTTTGATGATTAGAGCTTACAGCTCATGAAAGTCAAAAATCCAGTATTCAGCTTTTCAAAGCATCACAGAATTTTTTTGTTACAGGTCAAAGTGACTTGATATATACCTCATTTCCAAACCAGTTGAGCTGGAACTTAATTCTTGATTGATGGACAATAAATCCAATTAACTGAACACAGTCTGGCAGTTTTTAAATGATTTTTTTTAAACATTAAATCCACTCTGACTTCAATCTGATGTAGCAACATACAAGGATCTCACAATGAAATACTCTATACATTGGGACCATGTTTTCTTGAAATGTTTTTGTCTTGTACAGTTGATTAATTTTGGTTTTATTTATTTCATCACTAGTGCTTGTTTTTAGCATATTCAATTTGTTTTAATAAAAAATGTTAACTGAGTTGGTTATGACTAGCCTATTTTTTTGTCTAGCCTATTTCTTTTACCTTCATGCCTCTTTTGATCTAAGTATTTTAGAGCATTTTTTTTATCATTTAAAGATTAATAGCCCTGGTAACACAGCTAAACGTTTCATTTTGAAAAGGCTAAGAATGCTTTCATATTTATTATACACCACAGACGTATTTTTCACATATTTACTCGATGTTGCATAGAAGTTATGCGTTGTTAACACGCCCCCTGACACTTTATCGCATTACCAAGCGCAAACTAATACATACATATTGTGCAGAAATGTTTTTGATACGAACATAATTTAAAGCGTTCACCAAACACATGGGTATTATAAAGCGAAAGAGAGGGGTTGATCAAGACTTTTTTCACAACTAAGAATCCAAATTACATCGAGGCTGTATATGATTCTTAATAAACCTTTACCTGATTTTACCTGCAGTTAACCTACACCTAAACGCTATAACGTTTAGAACATTACTCTCATATGTTTTTCGTTAACTTTTCAAGAGTTAGTTGATGTCATTCGTGTTAAGTATCTTACCTCAGCTCTGGCGTCCTGTCAAGCTGCGCGCGCTTTTCAGTCTCTTCAACGGTTTTTTTATTTTTATAGTCTCGCGAGCTCGTTCAACAACTCTCTGCCATTCACAAAATGAAATGAGAATTATAATTTATTTGAGAAACTTTTGGCAGACGTGGTCAATTCCCCATATATATATAATATATA